AATACAAATTTATTCTTATTCCTCAGTTCAGCTTTTCAGATGTTCTTTTATGTCTGTTCTCCTTGCAAACCACTGCTTAATTAATTTTGGTGTGATTCTGCAGATGTTTTGTGGGCAAAATGCAATTCTTGTGCATTGTCCTGAATTTAAATCAGCCACATCTTGAATGATGATAATAAATTTAGCTGCCTAAAATTAGGTACAGAAAGTAGCCTGGGCTTTTTTAACTGTACTTGTAGCTCTAAGAGTTGTGTATGGGACAGTGTGAGTATGTGGCATTTGCAGATGGCTAACATTTGAGTGTGTGGTAAGGATGTAAAATCACAGCTTCAGATGCTCAGATTTGTAACAGTTTTACATAAAATTAAAGTAAAAATGTCTTTATTTGGAGTAGTACTGAGTGCACTCCTGACACTACTGTAGCTTCACACTGTAATGAAGAAAAGCTCTTATAATTCTGGTAAAAATTCATGCTAATTATGTTTTACTGTATTATTCCAACATGACTCCTCAGAGGAGCTTGAATGCCATTTGCCTGCTGAGATGAATGATACCAAAAGCAAGTTGAAGAGGTTTTTAAAAGCAGGCTGGTGTTGAGGTGTCAGACACTTCCAGGCCTCTGGGCTTTCATTAGCTGTTGACTTTCCTTTATTCTTCTGAGGAAAATGAAGATTTGGAGATGTCCCAGTCTCAGCCCCAAACCAGTTTGCCTCTGTACAGCTTTACAAATACAATATTTTTAGTGAGGTGACACTAGTTTCTGACACAGGAAAGTAGACAAGACATAGCAGTGTGATCTCACAGGCTATTCATCCCTGCAGATAAAGGAAGCATGGTTATCCCAGGGATCTTCTGTCAAGGTGCAGCCTTACAGGTGAAATTAAATCATATGTTTATGTCCTCTGTACTGATGGTACTGAGTAGAGCAGCCTGGCATTATGAGAGAGGGTTTTATCTGCTTCTGATCTGAAAGGGATGAGGAGACAGTGGCACTGAAGGATCAGAGACCTCCTTTTATTTCTCCTTCTTTATCTGAGAAGAGGATAGTGCAACATCCTCCTTGTTATTCTGTCCTGCTGTTGATAGGCATTGGCTGTTTAGGAATGACCACAATTGTGCAGCCATGTTTTCTGTTGCATTTCTAATTTGGGAGCTTGCCTTTTCCCCATAATACAAAGTCAGAAGTCAGTGGAATACAGATAACGACTCTAAGGTTAGATAAAGCCAAACAGCATTACAAAAATACCTTTTTTGTAATGTTTTGATGTGTTTATTTTATGACTTCACCATTTTAGAAATTAGAAGTATATGAAACTTAACTTTCTTTTTTGCTGTTTGATTTAATCAGTTGCTCTGTTTTTGGGCTTCCTGGGTTTGTGGCATCACTGGAGTTTGTTGTAGTGTGCTAGATACTACTCTGTATTTTCCAATTGCTGCTTCTAACTCTTCATGCTTATAAAATATTGTATATTTTATGATGAAACTAGTACAGCTTCTTCATACTTTGAGTAGTAACACATGGAAGGGAGGGATGACTTCTCTTTTTTCCCTCTTCATATTTCCTTGCCTCCTCTGCTTAGTACTCTGCAGCATCAAATGTAGGGCATTAATTCCCATAAAGTCAGTTTGGACAAGGAAATCTTAAGAAAATAAATATAGAGAGGGAAGACAGAGTTATTCTGGCTTGAGCTGCAGCTGCTACAAACTACCATCTGTAGTAGCTGGGCCTTACAAATTTGAGTTTTATTTCTGGAAAACATCACTGCCGTGTGTTGAATGTATCATAATGCTCCACATTTCCTCAAAGTGAAAGCACTATCATGAATGATTATTATGAATTACTTTATTGCTTAGGAGCTTATGGCTTATTGACATTAAAAAAGAAATTGTCCCTTTTAGTGTGATTTTTTGGGAATTTTGATTTATGACTGAACGTAGCTGTCTAAATGAGTTTTGGAAATTCAAGGAAAGTGAGTTAACTGCAAAAACTGAGTTGGTTCCAGAATGAATGTTTTGAATAAGAAAATAACTGCTCACAATTCTGACAGTTACTTAAAGGACAGAAAATATTTAGAAATACCATGTATTACATGAATTTACCATTAGCATTCATTTAGGGACCAGAACACATTATTCTTGTGTTAATATTTTAAAGCAGAAACACATAAAATGAATGAGTTCTAAAAACATAGAGGGAAATCAGTATTAAACAACTTCTTTAGGGTTGCATAGATAAAACAAGTATTCTCTGGTGATAGCTTTAATACTTCCCAAAACTAATACTTTGAATTGAGTCAAGTGGCTCTGAGAGTAGTAGGGAACCTCAAAATTTCACCACCCAAATATGATGAGCCTCAGAGCTGTGATGTCTGCTTTATCTTGATATATTAGAGCAGCACTTCTGTGAGCAGCTCTTTTTTTCTCTTAATACTTTTGAGATAAATCTAGTCTGCAACCAAAATGGCAAAAATGGATCTAACCATGGGAGGGCAGAGGGGAAGCAGTGAGGCAACCTCTGAGACGTGACCCAAATACTTAATTTTGTGGAGTTAAGTACACGAGTTCCATACAGCTGATAAAATCTACTACAGAGTATGTGTTACACAACTCCTGTTTGTGTGGAATTCATAATCACATCATTGTCTTCTCCCAGATGCTAGCAGGAATGAAATGTGCCCTCCCTGGGGAACGAGACTGCCGCAGATAATCACAGCAGTCCTCACCAAAGGGAAAATTTGGGTGCTTTTGCCTTATGTAAAGGCACAACAGAAGCTTGTCCTGCTTGTGTGGGTAACCAAGCAGAGGCTCTTAAATCCCAGGATGAGTTTCCCCACATCCCAGCAGGAGGTCCCCGGTCAGAGGGCAGGCTCCAGGTGCACCTGCAGGAGCAGCAGAGCTGCTGAGCACAGCACATGGGAGTGGTGAGGATGAGAAGCTTTGGACTCTGGCTCCTGCTCTCATCCACCCTTGCTCAGAACCAACGTGTTGTGGGGCACATTGCAGTAGGGAAAACTTCTCAGAAAAGGAGCTAGCAAGCCAAATGTGAACAATTAGGATTTTCTGGGCTCTTTAGGAGTGCCTGGATGCACACCACAAACAGTGGTGTGATGAGCCACAGAGGAGTTGGATAAAGCAGTAACAGACCAAACCCCTAGAACAACAGGACTAAAATGTAATCCTATCACTTCTCATGGCAGATGCATTGCAATAACTTTAGTATCTATGCAGTGCTATGAAGGAGGCAAACTGCCATGAGTTAACTAGACCCTGCTCTGACCCTTTCAGCAGTTCACTGTGGAGTAGGAATTGATAGCAATGCAGAGTTTTCCTGTTCATCTGATGTGCCTTATATGGGCACAGTGATTTAGCTCTGCCTTGGCCCAATCCCAAGTTTTGCTAAGTTCCTATGAGGAAAACCTTACTGTAGCTGAAGCCAAAGCTCCCCCAGTTGAATTTTGCAGATGTGATCATGTGCTGTGGTACTTGCTCAGAGATGGGTGCTTCCCAAAGCCGTACTTCAAATATGGGATCTGTGTGTTTCAAGACTTTGTCTGGCAAAGTAGGAGGCCACATAGTTCTCTTACAGGGAAAATGTCTATCAGAACAAATGCAGAACTGGCAGGTCTCACAAAATAAAGCTCCTCTAGAACAGCCAAAGTGTTTCAGTAGTGCTGTGAGAGCACAGAAGTTCATGCTCCCAGTGCCAGGAAGATTTGGGTTTCCCCTGGAAACACACAGTTGTGATTTAATGCAGCAGAGGTAAATAAAATAGCTTTATCATTTTATGTTCTTTGTCAATGTTCAGTTACACTATTTGATAATTCTTTTCCATGGATTTCATTTTCATTCCTTGCCCCTTGGGTTATGGCTCTTCCAATAGCAAGCTCTGATGTTGTGGCCTTGAACTTGAATGAAATCCAGCTAAAGTGTTGTTCTGGAATTAACTGGAGAATTCAGCAATTTAATTTTCTAGGAGGCAAGGTTTCTTATTTCTGTAACATGGGTTGTTATCACAGCATCTACCAGTGACACTATTTAGTCTTTACTTGTTTTGATGCTTAATTTTAGTGATTCACCCACACACACTTTTTTTTTTGCCTCCCTTGAATTTGCATGTGTCATCCTATCCATTTTCCAAGTTAGACTCTGTCAGCTCATGTGCTGTGCTTTCAAGGATGATCAGAATTCAAATTTATAGGTAGCTTCCTTAGAAACTGTTAGATCACCAGGAATCATGAATGAAATTGCTTTTAGATCAGGGCAACTTAAGCTAGATGCACTTTATAGCTTTTGAACCAAGGTAATGCAGAAAAAGATAAGGAAGAGAACTTGCAGCAGAAATAGCTTTTGAATATTGATGCATCTGAACTTAGGTACATGTACACCACACATACATGATGATGTCAGCCCTGTATTGGATGGAAATCTTTAGAAAACATTGGATTTTACCACTTACAGGGCTAGCTGCACTTCTCTGATCTTTGTAGTGTCTTAGTGAATGCCTTCATTAGTTGGCCATTGTATGTTTTCCAAATCTGTAATGAAATTTGTACCTTTGTAATGCTTGGAACATGAGCTAAACTGCAGCATGCAGAATCCACCATGGTTATCCTGCAAAGCCAACTGCAGCCAGCCACCTGAGGGTTCGTGGGAGAAATTTGGAACACTGGTGGTTGTAGTGACCGGAGAGCACTTTGGTTTGGAGTATTCTGTTTGTGTGATAATAGCATTTGAAATAGTAGTTTTAGGTATTAAAGGTTTAAGGTATTAAAGCATACATACCAAATGGTGTTGAGTGTGGAAATGGGAATCTGATAGTTTCTATTGTCCTGCCCACATCAATATCGCAGAGGTGATTAATTTCTGTTCATGGGAGATAGCCCTCAAGAATACAAACCTTTCCTGAAATAGGTTCCTTGTGTTTGACCTATGTGTGTGCCATGGCAAGAGCTTGTGGACTATAGATAATGTATGGTGGTCTCTTTGCATCCTCTGTGCAGTGAGAAGATGCTTGGAAGGGCACACCCCAGACATGTCCCGGGCCAGCAGCTTCACTGATGACATTGACCTGGTACCCGAGGAGTCCCCACTGCCAGCGGCATCTGACGTGGCACAGTGAGTGAGCAGCAGCTCTTAACTGATCCCTTGAATGCTCATTAACAATGAGGGACACCTGTCACTGAGCAAGAGCTGTGCTTTGGCTGGTTGGCTGCACTTGAAGTGATTGTGGGTTTGATCTTGTTTAACTAAAAATGAACATTTCCTAGTTTAGCCTGATGTTTGGTGGAAGTAGCCAGATGCTTGGAAAAGCAGCACTGCTCTGTGGTGGGTGGCTTGCAGCTTGGTGTATTTGTTTTCCCACTTTTTAAGGCAGCTGAAACTGTTCCTGAGAGCTGTGAGCTTTACAAACAGCTTTGTACTTGTAGACTGCCCCATCAGGTTAAGCTCTAAAGCAGTCCTAATAGAAATTGATTGGACACCTAAATGAAATAGTCATTTATAGATACAGCCCGAAAATAGAAAGGCTACCTCATGTAGTATTTTTATAAAGCAGGCACACTTTTAAGGAAATGATGTTCCACAAATATGAAAGTGAAGTTATTGTCCAGGACAGAAAATCCCCATCAGGGAGTTCACTGCAATTGTTGAGTTGTTGCTTTTTCTTGGTTTAGCAAATATTTCTGGAAATGAAAATAATCATGCAGGACAGCTTTATATTGTGTTTTATCAGGATCTTGAGTAACCTTCACGCTTTTGTCCTTTGTAAAATACATGTCCTGTTTTGGGCATGCGGATTCTGGAGTAAATTTCAAATGTAAACCAAAGCATTAAAACACAGAGGAAGGCCTGGATGGACCAGAACATCCAGGTGCCATAACAATGTTTTACCTCCCATCAGAAACTGACACAAATAATGCTGGTGAGGAGATCTCCTGAGTTAGCAGGCTCATGAAGGTCTAGCTGATGTTTGGATGTTATGGAAATGTTGGTGGAAAACTCACCTGAGATCACCATTGAGGGAGAACATCTGGGCTTGTCACTGGAAAAACCCTTTATCTGGGGTTAAAAAAAAAAGAAAAAAAAATTTTTTTTGCTTGCCTTCAGATAGGGAAAAATATCCACAGTGGTGTTCAGGATGAATTTGAAAGCAATGTGATTCCATTTAAGAGGGGTTTTGTGTGTGATTGCCTATAAGAGGGTTTCTTTCACATCCTGTGTTCACTTTCTGTCCAAGGAACTCATACAGATGATGTGTCTGCTACATCTGCAGTAACTGTACTGTGCTTTCATATGGCATATCCTGGTCCTTGTATTTCCCCAACATGTCATATCGGCCTTGCTTTCAAAACAGAGAATTCTCAATTGTTCTATCAAATTGGTCTTTTTTCTTCTTTTTATTCAGCACAGTGCAAGCAAAGGGTTTGGCATTTGAGGAGAAAAAGCCCTCAGAGCCAATCTTATTTCTACTGTTTAGTGCATGAAGAATGGTGGGATTATAAATTACTTTTTGTAGTGAAAACTGTACCTGCATTTTTAGCTCCTCTTGGTTTTTTAAGTGCATTTCTCCCTTGTGTGGAAAATAAGGAGTAGCAGAAAGATAATCAAGTGCACAAATGAAAAAAAGGAATTAATATATGGAGATATTTTAAGTACTGTGCTACACAGTTTAAAGTCATATATACAAAATCATTAATTGCTCCTGCTCTAGATGTCAAGTGCATAGAAACAGAATGATCTTGCAACTGAAATTGCTAAATGAAGGTTTTTTACATTCCAAGTCCCACAATAAAAAACATATGTATAAATTATAGCTTCTAAATACTAGTAAGAAACTTCAAATGTATAGAAAACCTAAGGTCAGAAGTTATAAAGGTGCCATGTAAGAACAAAGTCAAAACATCATTTCATTTAGTTTTCTGCTTCTAAACTGAACATAGCAGTTTTCATCTCTATCACTGATCATCTTATTTTCTATGCCTGCATTTTTACCTAGTAGGATGCATTCATTTTAGAGTCAAAGTGATTCTTGAGCAGAAATGTGTAGTGTCTCCTTCTTTAAACTGTGAACTTTATGAGAGAAGCACAGAAAGTGTTGTATTTATGGATCCAGGTTTAAACTCCCAATTTCAATGCAAGCAGTAAGATATTAACACTGTATTTTCCTGACACACACATCAGTTATAGATATACTCAGTGTAATTATTTGTCCTGTCTTTTGGGAGAAGTGTAAGCAGGTAAGTCTTGGTGTGTTCTGCACTTGCTTTGGTGTGTGAGCTTTCCAAAACAGCATGGCTTCTGCTTTTCACTCAATTAGGCCAACAAACCTTCATCCTAGAGTCATAAAAGCAGTCAATGATAAAACAAAAACACTTCCAAAAGTAAAATTCAGTCAAAAGGGAGTGTGGGGGTGTGTATGTATATATGAACACACAGTCAGCCTTCCCAACTTGCAGAATAAGTGAAAACTTGGCTTTCACATATCAGTTCATGCCAGAATCCCACAATGATGACAGTTTCACGTGAGGCACTTTGCAAACTCGAGTTTGACTTTGTGGAGCTGCCAAAAGCTAAAGTTTTGTTTGCTTCAGCAAGTGTTTTAAGCCACAAAATCAATCCTGCAGTAAACCTTTGTTTCAAAGTCTGCAACTGGTCATTTTTCAGCTTCCTGTGTTGATAAACATGGTGCCAGGTCTACAGCTGTAATGTTTTGAGGGTTGTTTTCTATAATGTGAACAATAGCTGCTCATCAAGTCTGCTGTGCTGCATGGATGACAGCAGAGATGCTCTCTGGTGACATAAGCTTTGATTCAGGCCACGTGCTCTTGAAAATTCCCTCCAGTGTGTGAGGAGGGCAAATGATATCCCAGGAAAACAGATTTCTTACCCCTGAGCCTCATTGCCTTAGACAAGGCTCTGTCACATCAATGTGCACGTGTGTAGCAGATTCACATTGCAGTAACTCAGGTGGGTTTTGGCAAGCAAGCACCAGGCTGCTTGAAAACTGCTGATATTGTTGTTTAAGGTGGTATTTGACTGAAAGCAAACCAGTTCAATGTAATGCAGCACTTCCCAGTGGTTCCCACTGTCAGTGGTGGGTGCATCCACCAGTGGAATTCTGATGTGAGTGGTCCATGCAAACCTGGAGAAGCTGAGCTGCCCTTGTGTCGGTGAAATCAGGCAGCAAACTGGAAAATGGAGCTTGGGAGACCTTTCTGTAGGAACACAGCTGCTTTGGATCCCTTAGACAGCTGGGATGAAGTTTGTTTCTGGTGGTCTCTGCACAAATGTGAACAACTCCTGAGCCAGGGGACAAAAGCATCATATTTAGTTTATAACTCTGTGGCTGCCTGAAGTTCTTGTTGAGTGTCTTTGGCCCATTTCCTCAGGGGCCAAAAATCCCATGTGCTGCTGACCTGAGTAGAGCTCTGTTGGTTTATAATGGCTGCTTCTGAGGTGTCCAAAGCTGAATAAAAATGATGGTTATAGAGATTAATCAATTCTGATGGATTACATAAAGATATTAATTTCAGTCAGTTGATGAGTAGTTCTATTTTTAGCAAGAAATGTTGGGACTGCCTAACTGCCTGACATAATTACTCACCTAATATTTCAAATTCTCTGATGAACAGTCAGAAGGGGGCTCCATCACTGAATCACTGGAGTTTTGCAAGAGTAAAGGAGAACCCAATACCTTTAAGATGTAGTGTTTTTTTTATCTCCAGCTGGTTCTATTTTTATTGTGATGACATGAACCCTTGGCCATGACAACATTTTCTGTCGTTCACACCAGAGTTTAACCTTCCATCAGGAAAGAGAATTTGGCCAATAGACTGCACTGAAAGATTACACCAACCTCTGCTCCCTGATAGAACAGTCTCAGAAAAAAATATACAGAGCAGCAGCTTTAGAGGCAGACATCCTGTTTTTGTTTTTCAGAGCTCTGTGGTTTAAAGCTGTGGTGTCGAAAGCTCTTTGCACTCTGAGGAAAAGCCAAAGTCAGAAATTCTCTGTCAGCGTGGCCAAGCAGCTGTGGTTGAGCGTGCGTTTTGTGGCCGGCTGGCGTCACAGGGGGGTGAATGTCAGCAGGTCCCTCTGGCAGGTGAGATGCACACCCAGTGCCCTTGCTCTGCCCTCTGGGCACAGCTGAGCAGTGACTCCTCCTCAGCTGGAACAGGCTGCCAGGGAGCTCAGAGCTGTTCCCCACAGGGAAAGTGGGGCTTTGGGACTTCTCATGGGCTGGGAGTGAGACCAGCAGTTGCTCTTCTTTCTGAGGCTCTGTTCACAGAAGAGTTAAGCTGTGCTTAGGAGCCATGGGTTTGATCCAACCCTGGTGAAACCAGCTCTGAGCAGAGCTTTAGAAAGCCTGAAAGTGCTTGTGTTGCATTCCTGTGTGTGAGGTCAGTGTGCTGAGGCTGTGAAAATGCTTCACTCTGAGGACTTTAATGGAACAGAAGCACAGACCTGACTGCAGAAGCAACCTGATATCCACTGTTCCCATCTCCTCCAGCTTTTTGTTTTATTTTTTATTTCAAGCTCATAGCACAAAACTGGCTCTTAGATTGTACAAGGGAGTTTCACCTGCAAAAGGATTAGCAGGAAAACCCAGCATTATAATGTGGTTATTAAACAATCTTTTCCCCCTCTGAGGAGGAGGGAAAAGAGACCTGAGGTGAGGCAATGGATGCAAAACAAACCTCTTTTAATGGGGGAAACTGGAACCCTGAGGATGACTGAATGCCCTGTTCTGTGTCATCACTGGTGAATCCTGATGCAGAAAGAGCATCCCAAATTCATCTCCAGCTGTGAGCAGGACCTCCTGTGAGGTTTGGGGCTTCATGAAGCCAGGGGCTTGGGTTCTCTTTGCTGGACTTTGTGCTCCCTGCAGGCTGCCTGGAAGAACAGAGCAAAGCTGCTGCCCCCCTCACCGGAGCTGGGTTCTGCAGAGATGGGGGTACCCTGGGCACGGCTGTGTGCTGGGCTGGAAAATCAAATTTGTATTCAAAGGAGGGTACTTCATAGTTAGCCTTAGAATTTTAGCTTTTCTCTTTTAAAACAAGTTTAGGAAATGTGTTGGTTTTGTGGTTTTGGTTGTTCTGGTTTGTTTTTTCTAGAGGAAATAGGTTATCATATGATTGGCAGATATGAAATATGACTAATTTCCTTCATTGCCCACTAACACAGAAATTTTATACAAAGTGAATGGGACAAATGGTAAAACTTATGCTAGGCCTTAAAGCTTTCATTAGGTGTTATCAAAGAAAATGATCATTGTTAAGCTCTTGAAAAAAGGGATGTTAAACCCATCTTCTGACTTTCAGCCTTCCACTATCTGTAGATGGTAGTGAAGGTTTTATCAGGGTCTTATGAATATTTTTTGTCCTTCTTTGTCTCTGCTTGAAAAATATAAGAGTTCAACCTGTAACATCAAGCATATTTTCAATCTTTCTATTGTTTTGGTTTATCTCTGCCAGCTCCATTTATCTTTCTATTTTCATCTTAACTTCTTTCTATAGCTTATTGCTTTTAATCCTATTGAAGAGTTCACCTTCTCACTAGCAACTCTATCCCACTGAATATACTATATGCTATATACTATATAATATCATGTATTATATATTATATAATCCAGTAATTGAATAGTGATCTTGTGTAGGATAATTGAATCAACTATAAACTCATTAATAACACTTTTCTTATTAAAATAGTGTTCCTGGGGTAACCCACAGTACCATGAGTGGAGGGCATATATCTATATCCATCCTGTTTCCAGGCTTCTCATTGTCTGTTGGCTTTTGACACTTACTAATTCCCACTCTCATGTACATTGAACACAGGTGTTACTGATGCAACTAGTTCTGTCCTTAGCATGGCACTCAAAAACATTTTAAATTGCTTCAAAGAGGGATTTTTGCAAGCATCTGTCAGTTCTGGCCAGAAAAGACCGAGGTAAAAATAGTGTAAATTTAACAGACAGTAGTAATTGCTAATCTGGTTCTATACTTTTTACCACTATATGGTCATGTGTTAAATTACACTTTTTAGCACTACCCATTTTTGTCTTGTCACTTCTAATTTGGAATTCTTTAAAAGGGCTGCCTTGGGACTTATTTCAGCACCCAAACAATTTTTATTACCATGTAATATGAAAGCAAGGCTGGCATTAGTATAAATTGGTGGCAATATGCAATAACCTTTTACAAGAATTTGACATTGAGGGGGTTTGGAGGTATTTATCCTGGAGTCACAGTGAATTTTTGCTCTTTCATTCCAAGAGTGAGAACATTTGGCCAGTGGAGGGCACTGCCCCATAACACAGGAGAAACAGAAACTCCTGTTTCAGCTTTCCAAATCCCATTTGTCATTTCAGCAAGCTTACTTATAAACTTAATTTATCTGCATCTGAATTTCCCCAACGTTAAATTGGCAACTTGCCACGCTAAGAAAAAAAACCCTACTATACTTAAACATCAGTTTAATGAGCAATTTAACCAACCCCCAAAGGCTCAGCTTGGTGTGGTGGTTTGACTTTCTTTCCTGGAAAACAGACCATTGTAACAGCCCACTGAAGGCTGTCAAAATATAACTGAATGCACATTATCATGTAAACCTCTATGCAGCAAAGTTCCCAGATCTGATAGAAAAGTGTGACATAAAAAGTTGCTTTGGAAACAGAAGCTTCTACAAAACATTTTCTAGAATTGATTTTTTTTTTCCTTAATGAGTTTTCTAATAATTTTACAGAATTTTGAAGTGTGAATCAAATTTTTCGTGGCAGGGGTGTGAAGTGACTCTGGGATATATGGCTGCAAATATCTGTCAAGAAAGTAGTTTACAAAGAATGTATCTGTTTCCAGATTAAAGACTCCCCTTTGTGCCTTTACTTTACACAGAAATTATTTATCTCAGCAGCAAGTCAGAAAATACAAAAAAAGGCAACTCTAATATTTGTTATTTATTGAAAGGAATGCAAGGAGCTGGATTGGATTCCTGGTCTCTTGTCTGTACTGTGAGGAGAAGGGGGAATCACATTATGGAGGCTTTGTTTGCATGTCAGAGTTTGTCAAGGTTTTAGTTAATTATTATTATAACAACTCAGTTGTCATTTCCAAGCTCCATGACACATGACAATATCATGAGTGCCTCTATGTGAAGCTGTGATGGAAGTTTGGAAAAACATAACATGAAAAAGGGTGTTGTTTGCTGAAGAAGACAGTGCAACCCTTCATATCAGACC